CTCCTCCCACCTTGGCAGGCGCCCCTGGGTGGAGGGCGCCGCCCGGGGGCTTCCTTCCCCGCTCACCTGGCGAGCCTCACCCCGCTGCCCACGGCCACGGCCTCCCGTCGGGGTTGCTCCCTGGCCCTGACATGGCACATTCTGTGGTAGTTTCCGGAGAGGGGACGTGTGGGAGGTGAATGTTTTGAGGACGCGCCCGTCTAAAACTACGCGCATCCTTTCTCCATCCTTGACGTATTTGCCCGCGGATATAGTTTTGCGTTGGACAAGACTTCCCCCCAGAGGCCACTCCCCGCGTGCTCCAGCTTCCTGGGTTTCAGTGGAGGTGTCCCCGTCGTCCTGATTCCCAGCGCCCTGCCTCTCCTCCTGACCTTCCGGAGTCTTCGCTTCTCGGTGGCTTGAGACCTGTGGTCACCAGGCGCGTCTCGTCTCGTCTCATCTCGTCTCGTCTTGTCCGCTGGTACAGGTAGACGAGGTCACGCCCTTCCTCCGGGCCTGTGACCTTGACAGCCTCCTGCCCCTTCCTCTGCTCTCTGTTCTGGACCCCCCATTTCGAGTTGTGAGGCCCCCTCGGCTGAATATACTTTTACCTTTTTGTCCTGTTTCAGCTCTTAGTTTTCTTTTTGACGAGGTTTCCTCAGCTTTTTCTTCCACTCGATCAACAATTTTATGCTGTTGTCACAAGAATTCCTTCTTATTCTTTGAATTTTTTTTTGTTTTAATTTTTTAAATGTCTATTTATTTTTGAGAGAGAGAGAGAGAGAGAGCGCACGAGCAGGGGAGGGGCAGAGAGAGAGGGAGACGCATGGAATCCGAAGCAGGCTCCAGGCTCTGAGACCCGAGGCTCAAACCCACGAACTGCTGAGATCATGACCTGAGCCAAAGTCAGACGCTCAACCGCCTGAGCCACCGAGGGGCCCCTCTTTTTGTTTTATGTAGCATCTTCCGTTTCATGGCTGCAATACTCTCTGTCCAGATAATATTTTCTATGAAGTTTTTGTTAAATAGATTGAATACATAAATAGGTACTTCTCTCCCCCCCCCCCCCCAAAAGCTTGGGCATCTTTGGATGAACACTGATTTTACGGGTCAGGCTCTGCGAAGCCTGCTGGCCAGGGTGGGACCTGCCAGCCCGCTGTGGGACGTCCACGTCTGTCGCTCTCCCTGGTGCCACGTCAGTGGTTTGCAGGGGGGCCTGCCAACCTCGCGAGGTGTGCGAGCCGAAGGGCACGGGTGTCACGACTCCCTGTGCAGGCTTCTGGGGCGGCTCCCTCTTAGCAAAGCCACCCCCGGCCCTCAGCTGTTCCTGGGGCCTCCCTTCCGAGGCCGAGCTTGTCTCCGGCAGGGGTGGGGGAGGGCGGTGCGGTGCCTTAGCTGTGCAGGCTGGGGGTCTGGTGGTCCCGTTCACCATGTCTTCCCAGGACTCACCCCGGGCAACCTTGAGTGTCGCGGGTTTGGAGGCTGTGGGGGCAGGTGCTGAGGGAAAGGGATCCTCGGTGGCCACTGCGGGGTCTGGTGGCCTTCACAGCAACACTTGGGGGAGCCGGATGGCGGCTTCTGCTTGGAGACACCGCCCCAGACGCCAGGCTGTGTGCAAGGGTGTCCCGGGGGCCGTCACAGAGGGAACGTCACAAGGAAGGCAGGCATCACGGGGAGGGTGTCTCTGTGGTCTGGCATTTCCGGATGGAGCATGTCCCCTGAGTGAGGAGGAGATCTACCCAGGCTTCAGGGCCAGGTCCACCCAGGGAAGGGATGCTTAACGTTTCTGCACTGGTGTGTGGGGGACAGGGTGGCACAGCTGCTCGCATGAGCCCCTAGGTGACCATCCCTGGAGACGTGTCCTGGCCAGACTGAGTCACACCCAAGTGCTTGAGGCACCGTGCAGGTGCACAGGTCTCTGTCACACATATTCCCGGAATCAACCAGCCGGTTCCGGAGTCATTCACGTTTCCACTGAATTCCATCTTGTTCTGTAGGCTCGAATGCAGCGTTTTCCTGTCTATCTGGCTGCGGCCAAATTCTGAAGGCAGAGGCTTCCTCCCTAGTCTCCCGGCAGATTTCAGATCCGGCGAATCTGGTGACATTTCTCTCTGCACGTGCCTGTGGGAACGCAGGGGGTGAGCCAGCTTTCCCCCACATAACCCTGAAGCCTACGCGGGCAGGATTCTCCGCAGCCCCCGGAAGGCGGGAGCAGGTGAGGACAGTGTCGTGTGCGGGATCACACAGGGCCACCCCACCCGTTGGGGGCCAGGCATGCGTTGTTCCTTCCAGACTTTTCATTCCCTCACTGCTGTCAGCGGGCAATGACAGCGACTGTCACTCGACGCGGGATCATTGGCAGATCCAGTGAGATGAGGCCTCGAACACGGATGCCCAGAGCGTAGCAGCTGAGCCGGACCCGGGGGAGCCCCTGTGACCGCAGGGGGGGTGGCGGGCCCTGCAGTGTGCAGACACCCCACGGCTCACCGCCACGGCGTCTGAGAGACTCACGTCTCCAGGGGCTGCAACACGCAGATGCGTCTGTGGAGAAAATACAGGAATTTTTTAGGTGAGAACGTACGAGTCCGTTTTGCAGACAAAGGGAAGAGGTGTTTGGGATTATGTCGAAGCGTGTGGATTTGTTTTTTAACCACAAATGGAGACGGTTTTCCTGGTTTTCCCAGGTGGGGGGGTGGTCCGTGGTCACCCCAGCGGCTGAAGCGGCTGTGATTCAGGAAGCAAGGCAGGTCGGTGGTCAGTGTCAGAACCTCTGGCCGCCGGGGACCTTCCGCGATTGTGGGCGTGACATCAGGAAGGAGGTACACAGTGGGGAGGGGGGGACGGTGACTGTTGCGGGCCCTCCGCCGGATGCAGTAAGTAGGTTAGAACAGGAGAGACGCAGCTGATTAATGAACCAAATGACAATGCTGTCCCTAGACCAGTGTAATCAGACATAAAAGCACATTTGTCTCTGGAGCAGACAGAGCCCCTTCGTGAGTCACGGAGACTGGCGGTCCTTGGAAAACCCAGAACGCACTTTGTTCTCATTTCTTCTTTTTTCTTTTTAAACCTTATCTATTTAAAAAATTTCTAGGTTTATTTATTGCTCTTGAGAGAGAGAGAGCGTGCGCGAAAGAGGGGCAGAGAGCGAATCCCAAGCAGACTCCACGCGGTCAGCGCGGAGCCAGACGCGGGGCTCGAACTCGCAAACCGCGGGATCACGAGCTGCGCGGAAGCCAGGAGTTGGAGGCTTAACCGACTGAGCCCCCAAGCGCCCCTGCTCTCGGTTCTTCTTTGGCGTCACGAGGCCACACCCGAGTCACTCAGAGGGTCCTGGGCCGTGTTCCTTGCAGAGCAAGGTCGGTCCAGACGCTTGTTTGTGGGGGGGTGCGTCCCTGGAGGATTTTTTCCAGAAAGCTGCTGTTTCTCCGCGTTACAATAGTAGCCTAATTAATTTTAATATTCGCCTTACTGTGCATCTAAGCCGGTTGGAGGATGTGTCGCAGGAGGAGACACAAACAGGAGACGTGCCAGTCTGCGGTGTGGGCGAGGCGGGCTCCGATGGGGGCTGGGAGCCCGGCGCTCGCCCCCGGCATCGGGGGACCAGGCCTCGCGGCTGATTGCTCGAGCAACCTGCAGACACACTCCCAGCCCATTGAAATTCCAGGCATCTCCTCATACAATTCCCACCTATGTAATTGTCAACTGGACCTTATCATCATTTATTATGCAAAACTGAATTTTTCTGAAGCGTGGAGAATGAAGTAATTTCGTATGCAAACAGTCAGAACTCTCATGTGTATTCTGATTACGTACATGTGGATAAATTCACTTATGATGAGTGACAGTGTGAGGTTTTGGGGCCGGGCCGGTCAATTGGCGAAAGACACTGATGAAAATGACAAACTGAGTGCCAGAAGTGTCCCCGACGCATCCTGGAGGAAACGTGCAAAATGTCAGTGGCTAGCGGCTGCCTGTTAATAACCGAAAATGATGGTGTGTAATGAGCAGAGGTTTCGTGGTGATTGAAGAGTGATCTCTTTTGCTCATCCAGATGCCGCTGCGTAGAAATACCTATTGCTTTTTACTGACAAATGTTAACAACCTTTAAACCTTCTGCTACAGGCCCTGTGTGCCTTGGCCGAGTCAGGGGGTGACACTTCCTGCCTGCATGGGGCGGCATTGGGTGGGTGCATTCCCCCCCCCCCCCCCAGTCCCTTCCAGCAGGGGCACCGGCTCCGGAGGCTGGGGGTCTCTGCTCGCCCGTGGGCCAGTCTGGCCTTTTGGGAGCACCTACATCCAGGCTGCTCACAGGTCCTGACCAGCGGGGGCAGCATTTTGGACCCCTGTCAGGGAGCCCTCGGGCCCAAGAGAAGGGATGGAGTTCACGGGGTTCAGAGTGGCCCGTTTTGACGCTGAGGGCAGCCTGAGGCCCCCCAGGGGCAACACAGACACCGGGAGGGGTGGGGGCTGCACCTGGGTTCTGGACAAGCACGGCGGGTGGGGGTCTGCACGTCGCGGTAGAGGAGAGCCCCGCGTGAGCTGCTCGCCAGGGCATCTCCGCGGCTGTTTGGAGCAGGGATGGCCGAGCCAGGCGGTAATGAATCAGACAGGGATGACTGAGTCAGGCGGCCTTCCATCTTCGAGGACGGCAGGTGTGCAAGCAAATAAAGGCCACGAGACGTGGGGCGCGAGGTGGGGAGGGGCCCGCTCCGCGTGAAGACCCTCCTTGAGTGGAGGAACTCAGAGGCTTTGCAGGGTTTGGGGTCAGCCGGCCAGGGTGGGGGGCTGCCCCTGTTCTTCCCGGTTTTCTGCAAGTCAAGGGTGGGCCAGGGAGCTGCGGCCGTGGCGTAGGGGCCGCGGGCTTCCCTGCACGTTGGGAGGGTGCGGACCCCTTAAACCGTCCAGCACAGGGCACATTCCCCGGTGGAAGTCCTCTTTAGTAGCTCACAAACAAGAGCTTGTGTAATGCTCTGTGCTTATAGAATGAAAACCTGAAGCAAAAACACCCCAAAACCCAGAAAACTTAAATATAAAATAAACCGATTGAAACACAGCAAATAGTACAGGAAACGGTGAGGACCATAAACCAGTAGGGTCAGCGGGGCCCTTCAAGGTGACACAGTTGCCCAGCTGTGCTTCTGCAGCCAAAGAAGGCGAAGTCAGTGAAACGCGTTGGAAAAGGCCGACTCTCGCAGCCTCTCGGGGGTTGAATTATGTGCCCCCGAAACACACGTTTAAGTCCTAACCTCTAGGCCTGTGTATTGACCTTATTTGGAAATAGGGCCTTTGCAGATGCCGTCAAGTTAAGGTGAGCTCGTAGTGGCTGAGGCCCGAAGTCCAGCGGCTGGCACCCTTAGAGGAGGAGGGACAGGGACACATAGGGACGCACGGGGGCACCAGGTCACGGCGGGTGCAGCAGCTGGGGCGGCATGTACACAAGCTGACACCAAGGGCGGCAGCAGGCAACAAAGGCCAGGGGAGGGAAGGAGGGACCCTCCGCCAGAGCCCCGGGGGCCTCTGCCCGGCTGACAGCCGACCTCGGGCCGCGGCTCCAGACCTCGCGGCGGGAGGGGCATGTCTGTGTTTCCCCGCCCCGCTCTCGTAGCCACCCCGGCAGCCCCGGACACGGCGTGTCACCCCACGCGGCCAGGTGTGGTGCGCTCAACGTGTTAAAAGCTCGCATCTAACATTAAAAAATAGTTTTCTTGGGATCTGATGCGCTGTTTCCAGACCGTCCTTGGGATAAATCCCCCTTGGTCCTGGGGTATAATTCTTACTGTATATCCTGCTGGGGTCAGTCTGCCGGGGTTTCGCTGAGAATTTGTGCCTCCGTATTTGTAAGCGGTATTTCTCTGCAGATTTCTTTCTTTGTGATGTCTCAGCCCAGTGCTCACGCCAGCCAACACCGGCCTCATAAAAACGGCGTATTCTTTAAGAAAAAAGATGACTCCCGATCTGTCATTTCCTGACGCGCCCCAGCACCCTGCTCAGGATCAACACGCAGATGCTGAATCTCCAGTCCAGGGCACCGGGGCAGCGGATGAGCTGGGAAGAACCCTGGAAGTGTGTCAAGGCCGCGGCCAGGGGCCCTGAGCACCGGTACCTGCCAGAGGTGACGTCTCGTGGGCAGAAGGCGGGCTGCTGGAGAAGCGCGGGCTGCTCGGGGGGCCGAGGCCAGGCTCGCTGCGCTCGTGGGGGCCCCACAGTGTGAGGCGCCCCGACCTCACTGCCCTGTCTCTGTCCGTCAGGGCTGCTCTGCACGGGCACGTGGCCCAGCACCCACCCCGCCCCACCGGCCACTCGGCCGTCCCGGCCCCGCGCCCCGACAGCCACGCTGGCCCACCGGGACCGCCCCGTACTCCCACCTCGGGCTGGGAAGCTCTCCCCGGTCTCCAGTCGCCGCCTGGACCCTTCCCCAGAGAGGCCTTCTTGCCCCCACGGCCCCCAGACTCGTCCCCCTGCTTCGTTTCTCCACACAGCCCCGTGGCAGCCTGGCCCTGTGAACCACTGCGCAGTCTCACAGGAGTGTCCGTGTGCGTCCGCCAGCAACACCAAGAGCAAAGCCGCCAGTGAGCGTCCTTGGGGCCTCCAGCGGAGGCCTCGCGTGCCCTGGCCAGGCGCTCACAGGGCTGTGTCCCGAGCCTTTGCTTCTGGCGGTTTCCTTTAAGATGAGAGGCTCGGAAGTGCCCTTGCCTTCCCTGGACGGTCTTCCTCCGTGTTCTTGCGTGAACCAGGGCGTCAGGATTCCAGAACTCCAGAGCCAGGAAGCTCTCTGGCGGCATCCAGTTCAACCTCCTGTATACGGTGACGAGTGTGAGTCCTGGAGAAGCCGACTGCCTCTCCCTGGGTGCCAGGGCGGGGTGGCGGTCAGGGCCGCCACACCGCTCCTGGAGGCCCACGTTCAAGTTTTCAACCTGGATGGAATGGCAACTTTGAAGAGTGTACTTAGGGTTGGAGCAGGGATGTGACGCGGGGCCGGGAAGAACGCGGCTTCTCAGCCCAGGATACTGGCTTCCCCTGCCCCGCCTTCCTCCTGGGACCACGTGTAAGCATTTGAGCTCACTTCCGGGGCCTGTGGTCCACAGGCACAGCTGGGGCCCCGAGGTGGTCTGGGTGGGGCTGGACGTGCAAGTTCACGGCCCGCGTGGACTCCTACGTGCAAATTCGTGGCCCGCGCGGACTGAACCTGTTCCCAGCACGCAGAGCTGAATAAATATTTGCTGATTGATTGAATGAGTGAATGTATAATTTTAAGCCTCTGGCTCTCAACTAATCCGGGACTCCCGGGAAATCAGTCTTTGTGAAGTTTCGATCAAAGTCGCCTCAGATCCTTCTGGAACAAGGCAGGATAGAAATAACAATTTTAAAGACAGTGGACGTGAGTGCCGGCGGAAGGGCAGGAGGGACGCGGCTCCCCGCCTTCAGACTCTCGCCGGCCGCCTACTACGTGCCAGGCTGCGAGGTGCCCCCATCCCGCGTGTAACCTCACCGCCGAACAGTCTCGGTCCCGCGGTGTGCCGGGGGACACGGCTCTGTGACGAGTCTGCGCGGGTGACGGCGACCTGGGCGGTGCCGGCAGGGTCTTGAAGGATCAGCCCGGGTCCCCGCAGGGTGCAGGGAGGATGCCGCCGTGTGGGAAGAGCCACAGACAGCGTGGGCCCCGCCTGCCGGAGTCCAGCCTGGCGGGGGGCGGCCAGCGTGGGGAAGGCTCCTCCAGCGGAGGGCAGCCCGCCAAGCTGTGCGGGCCTGGGCTGCGTTTCCTCGGGGTGGCTGAAGTGACTGCTCGACGGCCTTTGGGCAGAGTCGTGCAGGGGGGGCGAAGGCGGATTCGGGCGGGGAGGGGCTCCGGAGGAGGCAGAGGAGCGGCCGTGCTGTGGCCTGAGGTCAGGGGGGAATTTGGAGCGGAGGCCACGCGTGAGGCCGCCGGACGGGCAGACGGGGAGCCTTCCTGTGGGCTCCCGGTGTCCTTTATCCAACCCGGGGCTCTGGGAGGTGGAGCTCGGTGCCGTGGGGTTTAGGTGGAAAAGTCAGCAGAGCTGTAGGTGAGGCGAGTCTGGGGGAGGCCGTGGTCCTTGGGCATCGTCGTGGGCGTGGGGGCTGGCGGCTGACGCCGAGAGGGGACAGCTTCCCCCGTGAAATGCAGGGAGCCGGCAAGGGGAACGTGGGGGTGGGGGGTGGGGAGGGACACCTTCGCATCTGAGGCCACCTCCGAAGGTAACACTTGGTTTGCACAGGGCTTCCTGTTAATCTTCGTCTGGTTATTTCACGTGCCGTCGTACTGCTGTGGGTTTGTCTGCATCGTCCCCACAGTGCTATTCGTGAACCTTCTGTCAGCCCCGCCGCTGGTAAGGAACCCCACGTGCTCCCCCCACTGGGCTTCGGGAACAGGAGGGAAGAGTGAGGCCCGCCCGCGGCCTCGGGGTCTTCCTGGGACCCCGTCACTGGTGCGGGCTTCCTGTTTACCCTTAATCACCCAGAACTCTGACTTCCGGGTAATAGACAGCTAGCTTTCTCCCCAGCCCTAGCGTCAGGAGCCAGGGTGGACCCCCAGCCCGCGTCTGGAGGCAGCGCTTGTCAGGACAGTGAAAGAGTTCGACCCTCGCCGTCTGGAACCACGAAAACGCGCAGGAAGATGCTATCCGGGCCGCCCTAGAGACCCAAGGGATGCGGGTCAGGGCACGTATAAGGGCCCTGGGGGCAGGGTGGCCCGTAGGCGGGGCCCTGGGCAGACAGAGCCCACGGGTGCCCCGCGCCACCGGGTCCCACGAGGAGCACGCCAGCACCCCTGGGCTGCTTCTTTGCCAGGACGCCCCCCCTCCAGTCCGGATTGCTTTACTGTGGCAGCGGTCTCTGGGTGACCCCATCAAGGACCCCCCCCCCCCCGTCGCCCCTCGGCCCTACTCCAAAGCCTTCTTTCTCCCCTCGAGGCTCCGACTGACGCAGCGCGGATTCCGGGCGCGGGAGGTGGGGGGGCTCGCTGCAGTTCGGGGAGGGGGAAGAAGAAATGGAAGGAGAACCTGCAGACGCGGGCAGGTCGGTGCCCTGACAGCTCAGCCTTCCTCAGGGACCCGGCGCTCTAGACGTTCTTTGTTCTTTGACGTGGGGGAGGTGAGAGCTTTCGCGGGGCGCTGGGAGGGAGGGGGAAGACCGCCGCGCATGCGCTCCGGACCCAGAGCGGGAGACACGCGGGCGGGAACGCGCAGGCGCAGGGCCGGGCGGGCCGGGGTGCCGCGAGCCTGACTTTGTGAATGGGGGCGGATGGCTGAGCCCCCTCCCCGCCCCGCCCCCGGGCGCGGGGCGGGCGGGGGGTGGCAGTCCTCCCGGCCCCAGGCGTGCTGGCGGACCCGCGCCCGGAGCTCCCCTCCGCCCCCCGCCCGGCCACCCCTCCCACCCGGCGGGCTGCCTCCGCACCTGCCCGCGCCTGAGACAGGTGCAGCCCCTAGGCCGCGCCCCCGCCCCCTGCTCCCGCCCCTCCCCCCCCCCCCCCCCCCAGTTCTCCCTCTCCCCTCCCCCGCGCCCCAGCCCCCGCCCCTGGCCCCCTGCGCCCCCAGCCCCGCTCCCGGCCGCCGCAAACCGCAGGGGGCGGGTGTGCTGTGGGGACACCCACAGCCGGGCGCCAGCACGCATCTCAGCCCGTAGAATTAGGAAAGGTGGGCGGCCACCCACCGAAAACCCACCGCCCCGGAGCCCCTGCCCGGGTTGGAGGAGAAGCCGCCCCCGCCCAGCTCGGCGGCCCCCAGGTGTGAGGCACAGCAGTGAGACAATGGGGGGGGGGCTGGGCTGGAGAGGACCGTCACAATCCCGTGGGGGCGCCCGAGGGGGCGGACACGACGGGGGCGCATCCCCGTGCGGCGTCGGCACACACGTCACTCTTAGATGTCCATTTCCGGGGACGGTAGAGGGCACAGGCGTTGGGCCCCCCCGAAGGCACGGAGTTCCGACCCTGGCCAGAATGGGATCGCGCTCCGCGAGCAGTGAGTGAAACACACCCTCGGTTCCGTCCGAAAGTCCGGAAGAAAAGAGCACAGACCTGGATACAAGTACCTGCCCCCGGGCACCGGGCAGGGCGCACAGAGGGGACTGATTGTGACGCAGAGGGTGCGGCCCAACCCCACGGCGCGAGGGAGTCCCCAGCTTCCCTTCGGGAAGCGCCTGGGAAACGAGCCTCCAGCCACGGGCGGCGAGGGGCCCGCGGCTGAGCCAGCTTCCTCGGGGACACACCGGAGCCCCGTGGGGGCTTTGCTACCCGGTGACCCCGGGAAAAGGTGAATGTTCTCATCCATAAAGTGGGAGTGAACTGGGAGCGCCAGGAGCCCCGGTGAGGACCACGCAGTCCCGGACGGGCCTCCTTGTGTGTTTGGTGGCCCGCATGGTGCCTGCTGAGTCGGGGGGGGGGGGGGGGTGCGGTCTGGGGCGGCGAGCCAGGCGGGCTGGTGTCCGGGAGGCGTGGCAGTTCCGATGGGCCCCTGGCACTGGCCGCTTGCGCGCAGGGCTCGCTTGGAGACTCACTGCCGAGCGCCCTTCTGTTCAAGCCAGGCCCAGGCTGACCAGCGCTCTACCCAGTGAGCTGCCCTTTGGGAAATGGGGTCTGAGGCCAAGTGACAAGCCCTCGGTCAAGGCGTGTAGCACGAGTGTAGCTCGGGTAGGCGGGATTCTAGTACATTTCTGGGTGACATTTTCTCCCCTTTCCCAGATGTCACCTAGGAAAGTCACGTAGCCCCTTTGGGTCCTGACGTTTTCATCTGTGCACAGGTGTGTGTGCATGTGTGGGTGTGTGTACACGGGTAGGTTCACCATGTGCATACAGTCGTGTGCATGTGTGCGTGTACGTGTGTGTATGTGTGCACACGCATGTTGGCAGAGGGAGGGGTGGGCATACACGGCCTGGGAAACATCTCCCAGAGCTAACAGTCTCTCCCTCATCATCCTTTGCCATCAACAGATATGGGCCACCTGCCTCTCCTGTCCCAACGCAGCTCTGGGAGGGTCTCCACCGAGCCCTGCTCTGCAACCGCAGACTTCTGCTCTCTCTCAGCCCCATTTGCTGCCTCCCCCCTGCTGGCTCATCCCCATTTCCTCCCCCTCCCCGACTCACCTCTGCACCGGGCGCCCTGCCCTGCGTCCAGTGCTCTGCAGGGCTGCTCCTGGTGCGCCCCTCCAGCAGACTGTCACTTGAAGGTGACAAGAAGGTGACAGCAGCAGAGCCAGCTTGAGCACAATCGCTCCGCACACTGACCCTCAGGATCAGGATGCGGGAAATGGTGTAGACAGTGATAGACGGACGTTCCCGCCGGGGAAGCCACTCTTCTGCTTCTCCCATCTCCTGGGGTCCGTCTTTTGTAAGCCACGTGGAGGCCGGCTGTTTGCTGAGGTGACTGGAGGGCCCCCGGCAACGCCACACCCCGCGTTCCATTTCAAGCCGCCACACCTTCGTCCTGCTCTGGAAAGTTGGCGCGTGGATCGCCGTGTAGGTTCAGGGCTGACCTACAGGAACAGCGGCACGTTGGTTCTCATTAACAGCCCTCACATCGGTCCGGTGCCTTACAGATGATCAGAGATTCCACGTATTTCGTCCATCCGTTAACTGATGTGGTTTGCTGCCGAGCCATGACTCAAGAAGGGGCTGACCCTGCATGGGATTGTTGGGGGATTAGAGGCATGTCCTAAACCACCACTGTGCTGTCGTTGCTGGAAGCACATCCCTGAGCCTTCCGGGGGATCGATCCCTTTGCAACAGTAGCTCCCACTGAGTGAGATGGTTGGGGAGTGGGCGTCTTTGGTTAAACGGGCATTTTGGGTAACTGCGAGCTCTTAACGTCTACCATTCATGGAGTATGCGTTTCCAAAGAATTAAAACGCAGACGGTGCTTCCGGGGCTACACCCTTGTGAACACAGAGGCAAAAATCCTCAACAAGAGATTAGCAAACCAGATTCAACAGTCCACACGACCACTCACTGCGGCCGAGCGGGGTTCATTCCAGGGATGCGAGGGTAGTTCGACAGCCACGCAGCCACCAACGGGATTCACCGCGTTGACCAGGTGGAGGATAAAAATCACGAGAACACCTGCAGATGCAGAAAAAGCGTCTGATAAAATTCAACATCCATTTGTGAAAGAAGTCTCAAGGAAGCAGCTATGGAGGGAACATAGCTCACCCTAATAAAGGCCGTATATGACACCCCACAGCTAGCATCATCTTTGACGGTGAGAAGCTGGAAGCTGTCCTCTGGGATCGGAAACAAGGCCGAGACGCCCAGACTCACCACTTCTAGTCAACTGGAGGTCCTTCTGGAACAATTGGGCAAGAAAGAGAAGGGCACTGAAATGGAAAGGCAGGGCAAGACTGTCACTATTTCCAGATGCCATGATGCCCTATGGAGAGGACTCTGAAGGCCCTATAGAAAAACCCGTGAGAGGGGCGCCTGGGTGGCTCGGTTAAGCGTCCGACTTCGGCTCGGGTCACGATCTCACGGTTCGTGGGTTCGAGCCCCACGTCAGGCTCTGTGCCGACAGCTCGGAGCCTGGAGCCTGCTTCCGATTCTGTGTCTCCCTCTCTCTCAGCTCCTCCCCCACTTCCGTTCTTGCTCTCTCTCTCTCTCTCTCTCTCTCAAAAATAAACATTAATTTTTTTTGAAAGCAGTATCTTGAAGAGATATCCGCACGGCTATGTTCACTGCCACATTATTCACAGCAGCCGAGATATGGAAACGACCTCAGTGTCCACTGATGGATGAGGATATATACAAGACGATCTATTAGCCATATAAAGAATGGAATCTTGCCATTTACAACGTGGAGAGACCTTGAGGGCATTATGCTCAGTGAAATACGTCAGAGAAACAAATACTGTGTGATCTCTCCTACACGTGGAATCAAAACCGTCCCGCAAAAACCAAGCTCACAGATACAGAGAACAGATTGGTGGTTGTAAGAGGCAGGGGGTGGGGGTTAGAGAAACGGACAAACTGTGTGTTTTGTGTTTCTGTGTTAGTGTAGCTTGAATTTGAATTTATTTAGTTTAAATAATTTGAGTAAAAATTGTAAAAATGTAGATGGTGCCTTATTCCCAGGTAGGAAGCGCTATTTGAAATTTAGAATGTATTTTCCACGAAGAGTCATCAATGGTGTTGAGATTCCCAGGCCGGTTTGCAAAAACCTTTAGCAGTAGAATAGAAAACAGTACTGCTGAAATAGCAATTAGACAAAACAGAATACAATCGCACAGATTAAGATCTTTAGAAGTGATTTGGAGCCCCGCTGGTGAAAACAAAGGATGTTCGATTGCAGGGTTTGTGGGGCGAAAGGCGTGGCAGTTCTGAGGGGGAAGTCTGAACCCTTCAGGGGCTTTCGAGGTGAAGGGTGCTGGTTCCTTAATATCTCTGGTTGCACCTTCCGATTTATGGCTTAACTTTGTTTTGTATAAATATATCATTAACTTTATTCTTAGGTTTCTCAGCAACTATCAAGTTTTTAATTTTCAAAGAGGAAAAGAAAAAGTAAATGGCAAGAAACTGTCTAGATGGGCGCTTTCCTGAAGCACCAAGGTCAGATCACAAGAGGCGGGGAGAGAGGAGTCTCCTTTCCTCAGCTGAGCTCACCACGCGGGACTAGCGAGGCCTCCTGCCTCGCCTGGAGTTTGGCTGGGCCGTGACTGGCCTCTGGCTTCTAGAAAGTGGCAGAGGCCCTGTAAGCTGTCCCAGGCCTGGCCCTAGAGGCGAGCGAGCTCCCCTGGGTCTCCCACCAGGTCGGCCAGGGCCACGGCAGAGGAGCAGTGCGGGGTGGTTGTGTCCCTCTAATTTTTTTTTTTTTCAACGTTTATTTATTTTTGGGACAGAGAGAGACAGAGCATGAACGGGGGAGGGGCAGAGAGAGAGGGAGACACAGAATCGGAAACAGGCTCCAGGCTCTGAGCCATCAGCCCAGAGCCTGACGCGGGGCTCGAACTCACGGACCGGGAGATCGTGACCTGGCTGAAGTCGGACGCTTAACCGAGTGCGCCACCCAGGCGCCCCTGTTGTGTCCCTCTATACAGCGGGTTCTTTTCACTAGATGTGGTCGAGATTTTCTGGCAGTTTGTTACACACCGAGCCACGTTTCTCTTCGTATTTTTTCTGTTCGGGGCTTGTCGGTTTCTTCGAACCATACAATCAGGTCATTCCTTAAACTCGGGACTTTTTTGAGTGTTACTTGTTCGACTATTCTTGCCCCGTTCTCCCTCCTCTTCCTCTGGGACTCCTGTCCCGTGAAGGTGCGACCCCGGCCGTGGACGTGCAGACTCGATAGCTCAGAACGAACCCGCCACCCGTGCCAGACTGCACAACGATCGTGATAGCGTGGTGGCTGCACGGTCCCTTGGGGGGGGGGCGCCGTGGGGACAGCGTGTCCTTCTGCGACGTCCAGCGCCGGCTAGAATCCTGGAGGCCGGGCCCGGGCTCCCCCGGAGGCGCCTGGTAGTGAGAGACGGCGAGACGGCGAGGGCCCGGCGCGGCGCCCTACGGGGGCTCTCAGGCGGGCGGAGGCGGAGGGAGAGGGCAGGCAGGGGTCCCCGTGCCCAGACAGCTCCCCCGGGCTGACGCACCAGGGACATTCTGCTGGCCTCTTGTTGGCTGAGGCCGCGAGGCACGTCTGCCCGGGCCCGGCCGCGTCCGGCTTGTGCGTTCGGGCAGGCGGTGACCCTGGTGGCCTTTCACGGCGACCTCTGCTTCGGGGGCGGCAGAGCGCGGCGTCCCGGGCCGGGCCGTAACCTCCTCTGGGAGGTCTCCTCCAACCTCACTCCCGGGTCGGGGCCCCATGTGCCCTTCCGGTCCTGGGACTTAACCTTTCGGCCAGCGCTTCCTGGCGGGCCGCCTGGGAGTAGGCAGGTGTTTGGAGCGGGTGGCCCGGACACCTGTCCCCAGCAAATGGCCGTGGGATCTTGGCCAGGCCCATCCCTCTGTGCCTCAGTGTCCCGCTCGGTAGCGGGTCGGTAATAACCACACCTGTTCTGGGGACAGTCGCGAGGGTCCAGCGAGCTTGCGCGTGAGGAGCAGAGGGCGGGTGAGCGCTCACGACTGTTGGCTCCGTGCTCCTCCCCCACCCGTCTCGGGGCTAAAGTCGGGGCTGTGGTCCACACGGCTGCCTGGCCCGGGGCTGTTGCACACCGCGGCTGTGTGCTCCGGGAGTAGAGCCCGGGCCCCTCACGGCCCACCCCTGCAGGCGCCTCCACGGGCTGTGAGGGGCCCGGGCGGGTCCAGGGGGCGGGCGTGGCGGCTGCGTCCACACACAGGAGAGCCGGTGACACGGCGGAGAAGTCTGACTTAACCCCTGCACAAATATGACGAGTTTTATTTTTCCTAATAAAACAGATTACTTATCATCTGGCAGGAGTTGAAAATTACTCAGTCTAAAAACGTCCGGTGAACAAAGGCTTAATTTCAGCAAACGGTTCTAAATCGAGCGCTTACGCAAGGCAGCTTTCGCTCCCTACCCGAAAGTTCACCCTCCCGCTTCCACATAAAAGGAGAACTTGCTCCCGAGTGACTCTGCTGGACAGACCACCTCCCCGCGTGGGAGTCACTGCGTCTCCGGGCCTTTCAGGGCTGGGGCGCCCCGCAGGGTGGAGGCTGGGGGTCCCGAAGGCACGAGATGGGCTGTAACTTCCTAGGGGAAAACAAGCAACATGTGTGTGGGAGACAGAGGTAAAGAGAGAGACAGAGACAAAGAAAGACAGAGAGACAGAGACAGAGGGACAGAGACAAGGAGGGACAGTTAAAGAGAGACAGAGACAGAGAGAGAGAGACAGGGAGAGACAGAGACAGAGACAGAAACAGGCAAAGAGACACAGAGAGACAAAGAGAGTTAAAGACAGACAGAGATAGAGAGACAGAAACAGACAGAGACAAAGACATATAGTCAGAGACAGAAAGAGACAGAGATAAAGATACAGAAGCAGAGACAGATAGAGACAGGCAGAGATAGAGACAGAGAGACAGAGATACTGTGAGATAGACACAAGCAGAGATGCAGAGACAGAGACAGATACAGAGAGACAGACATAGGCAGAGATACAGAGACAGAGATCTACAGAGAGACAGAGACAGACAGACAGAGACAGAGATCCATGGAGAGACAGGAGGGACGGACAGACAGACAGAGAGGGAACCATCAGCATCACTCAAGCTCTACATAAAGGGACCACCAGGAGGGGCCGCTGAGTTTCGGGCACGCGAGCTTTGGTGCTGCCCCTGGAAGGCCTGTGTTGTGTCCTGGGTGCCTGCTGGGGGTGGCGGGGGTGGGCCTGAGTGGTCGTCCCAGCAGCGCTTCTGAGGGGCCCCGATCGCGGCGTTCGAGGATCCAGGTCCTGGGACTCCCGACAGCCACACGGACCAGAGGGGGCCGGGCCCAGGCCTGCGACGTAAACCCCGGAAGGCAGGCCGAGAGCAGCACGGGCGGCCCCACAGCGGGCTCCGTTGAGCTGGGGCTTGGGGCGGGCGTCCTCACTGTCCCCTGTGGGGAGGGGCCTCCCGGGAGGACTCGGGATCGGGGCTGGGGCAGGCCTGATGCTAAGTGGGGCTATCAGGCAGGAAAGGTAGGTGCCCGGGGTGGAGGGGGTGCCTGGGAGAGCCAGGCCAGCCCGAGACTGAGAGGCAGTGTCCTTGCCGTGTCCCCGAGTGCCGTGGTCAGGTCGGCCGGGGCGAAGCGAAGTTCCCATCGCCTCACAGCCCAGGACCCACGGCGGGAGGCAGGGGGCGGGGGCGCCTGATCTCCGGCGGGCTGGGTCCCTGGATGACACCCCCGCCCGCTTCCAAACCAGCCCAGGGCTCCCAGTGGTGGCTGCCCCCCACGTGCCGGCCCCGGGGCGTCTCGCTGTGACCTCGTACCTGCTTCTCCGCTTCTCTCCTCGCCTCAGCTGCCCGCCGGCTGCAGACACGTCCCTGGACTCTTCCTCGCAGGAGGGCAGCGGGCCGGGGTCCACACGACCGTGAGCTGGCCTTCCCGGGCGTGAAGTCCGGGGGGCGGGGGGGGACGGTCACACAGAGGGCCACCCGCACGCCAGCCGGGGCCCACGCACGTCCTCTGCTGAGGCTAGTGCCGGCTGCCCTGTGCAGTGAGCCCGTGGTCCCTCCCCGAGGAGGCACAGGTGCGGGGAGACGGGCCTGCGTCCGCGGCCCTCTGCTCCGACCGGCAGAACGCGGCAGGACGGACGCTCGGCCGCCTGGTCCGGACTACTGGGAACAGGCCGGCTTTTCTGCTCTCCTTTAGGAGGGCCGTCTGCCCGAGCTGGATGTGCGGGCGCAGCCGCTCAGGCTAGTGGGGCAGGGGAGAGGCTCAGAGACACGCAGCCAGGGTCCCCGCGGGCCCGCCGTCCTGGCCAGCACTGGGCAGGAGGCCGAGCCCGTCCCGCGTGTCCTGGCCTTGCCTCCGTACGGCCGCGGCCCCGCGACGGACCCCACGTTACGCCCGTGGTTGAGTCCAGCCAGCGCAGAATCATGAGCGCGGAAAGGTGGTTGCCTGAAGCCACCGAGCCTGGGGTGTTTGTCACACAGCGGGGGATGCTGACCACGGTGCTTGGTGGGGGAGAGGGGGAGGAGGAGGGAAGGGAAGGGGAGGGGAGGGCGGCTCCAGCGAGGTCCCGGGCGTTTACTCCCCACGAGGGACGAGCCCGCCTCGTCCTAACGAAGGTGCTTATGAGCCTAGTGTGTGAGAGGCAGTCCCCAGCGTGGCCACAGACGTCCGCATGTCCGGAGAACCTGAGTCTCAACGTGAGGAAACAGAAATCACATCTTTGTGCCGTTTCTCAAGAACAAAATTAAGATTTAAAAATGTATGTAATTTTGTTAGTTGTATTTACAGAGCAACGGTTTGTGTGTGTGTGTGTCTAATGGTGACCAGTGCCAATTTAGAAGGATCTGTGTAAAGTCCTTCAAGTGACCCATGTCGGAGGGAGACAGGCCACCCTCGTGTCTGAGTCACATTGCTGTCCGGTCAGAGCACAGAGGCGGGTGCTGCAGGGACGGTCAGGGGTGAGGCCTTGCTTCCCCATAGTTCTGGGGCCGACAGCAGGCAGGGAGCGTGGGGAGTGTGCGGGACTCAGGTACAAGTTCACTCAGGCCCTCGCACCCTTTGCTGGGCGCCCCCTGCAAGGCTCCAGCCCCACCTCCCCGGGCCCCCCTCCCCCACAGGCACCTAGCACGCACCCCAGTTGTGCACGCCCCACCCAGTCCCCTCCAGTTCCAGCTCTGGGCGCCGCGGCTCCCCCACAGCAGGCCGGATCCGCCTTGCCCACCTCCGCTGCAGGGGTGAGCTTGTTTGGGAAAGAAAGGGCGGGGCACAGGTGACAGGGTTTAATGGGGCCACCCTGGCTGCTGACTGGGGAGCAGAGAAACACGTGCACGATAGCCCGGGCCAGAGGCGGCAGCTTGAACTTGTGGGGGGCTGGGCTCTGGGGGAGGGGGTGGGAGCGTCTGTGAGCCTGAGGAAAGGGGAAGGTGGGGGGAGGGCCTCCGGACGTTTGGGGCCCTGAGCACGCGAGTGGCTTGTGGGGCGGAGTTTGCAGTCCAGGAGGCCTTGCGGAGGAGGGGACCGGCTGGACGGCCCGGGGTGGCTCCCGCAGGCTGTGCAACCAGGACTCAGACCACCCCCGTCCGACGCCTACCATCTGATTATCAGCCCCTAGGGGTTTGGGTTTGGGGACGGGACTGGATGCAAAGTCTGGGTGAGGAAGTCACATTTGGACGGTGGAGCAGGCACTGGGAGTCACATGGTCCCTCGAGCCCACGTTCTCCGTGGATGTGGTTGGTGCTTCAAAGCAGTTATTTCTGCCTTTAATCTTGTCGCAAGACGGGATCTGAAGCGCTTCACAAAGAGGAACACAGGGCAGGGCGTCAGAGAAGGATCAGAGCAGAGCGGAGGACTTGTGCCCGGACAGCCTCCTGGCCGCGCTCGTGGAGCCCTAGGTTAAGTGTCCCCCGGAGTCGCGGACCCCCATGCTCCCCCGGGGGGCCTGTTAACCCAGATTCCCACCCCCCACCCCCCAAGGAGACCCTGACCCAGTAGGCCTTGAGCCCAAACCTCCCCATGGCCTTACAGCTGGACAGGGCCCCCCAGTGGCCCCAAGCTTGGGCAGATGGTGAGTCTTGGTGCCCGCACCGCCCGGCCACATCCTCGTGCCTATTCAGGGCTGTTCAGCCTCATATTCAGGCCCGGCAGCCTCTGTTCTTCCCACTTGAGTCCAGTTGTACGTGTCGTACACTGCACAAGGGCCTCTGGTTGAGGGGACAAGTTGGGGCTGAAATCCAGCCCTGGCCTTGTGGGCCCCATGCAGGACGCTGCAGGGTTAGCAGCTGCTGTGAGTAGAGAGATCCTGATGCCCCAAGTGCCCTGGCCTCAGACGCCTCCTCCTCGGGGGGTCCTGAGACTTTGAACACCATGGGCAAGTCCTCTCCGGGCACAGCTAGCACCGAGGCTGGGCTCGCTCTGAGCACCGTCTGGGGGTACAGAGCCCCGGGGCCAATCCCACCTCCTCCGCCCCTCACTGCGCTCGGCTCTGTGAGGCGGTGTTCCCACGCGGGTCAGGGAAAGAACTGGCACCTCCACCCTCCCGCCCTGCCCGCCCCGGGGCCTGGGAGGGGACCTCTCTGCCCCGCCTCTCCTGCTGCCCTCTCACGTGCACGCACACACAGACGCGCGGATGCGCACAAGCACCCTCCTTGTCTGCTGCCCCGCTGTGCCCACCCCCCTCCCACCTTCCGCGTCGTCGTCCCCCCCCTCCTCCCCCCTCCCTGGTCCTGGGAGCCCCGGGGGTGGGGGTGGGGGTGGGGTCTCGGCCCCTCTGGCAGCCTGCAGAACAGGCTCACGGCAGGCCGGGCACCCGGCACCCTGCGTCCCCTCCGGTCCCACACCCCGGACCTGGTTGCTGAACCCCTGGAGCCACGGAGGGGTCAGGGCTCCCGT